CTTGGAACCCTAGCACGTCCACAGCACGTCCAAGGCTTCCCTTCTCTTCCCCTTTGCTCGACTGCCGCACGGACCATCCTAGCTCAGTTCTAGGCCCGTGACAGTAGTGGGTGTTGGGTAAATAACATTTATGGTGTATTAAATGAAAAATAAAATATAACTCCGTACACTTTTATTAAAAGTTAATGTACTAATTAATATAAATAAATATATTAATCTAATATAATCAATTTGAAATGGTAACGTAATTTTAGTTTTATAGTGGGTAGTGAGTGTTGTGCACAAATCAATTTTATAGTGTATTAAATTTAAAATAAAATATAATTAAATAAAAATTTAAAAATGTAATTAAATAAATGGCTAATGAGATTTTTATGTATTAGACTTCGTTTTATGAAATTCTGAATGGAATAATATGGAGAGCTTTTGCCTATGGCAAAACAAAGGTAATAGGTTACAAAGAGGTTGTAGGTCTATTCTACTAGAGGTGGATGCGAAAGAAGTTGTAGAAAAGATCAATAACAACAAGCAGTCGTTAAGTTGGCAGAAATACACTCAAGAAATTGAAGTGCTTTGGGAGATGTTCTCGAATATCAGTTTGGCTCATATCCAAAGGAATAGTAATTCTCCGGCTGATGCAATTGCGAAATTTGCGTTGAATCGTAAATCTCCTATTGTATTTTGTTCGAACTCTTGTCCTGAGTGGCTTTGTAGCGAAGGATTGTTCTTCAATTTATTAATTTAATCTATTAATTTTTGTGAAAAATAAAACAAAGGTAATAGGTTAGCCACCAATCTGGCCATTTCCGAAAATCAGTTGTCTTCGCAATCTTATAAGAACAATGGCGAGAATCAATATTTTTGTCATCCACTTAAATACTATCAAAAGTTTTCATATGAAGTATATAGATATTAGTGTATGAATGTATATATAACTATAATGTATAAGGTATGTGTATATATAGGTACATATGTATATGTGTATTTATGTATCTATATATTTGTATATATATATCATATGTATAATGTATTTTATGTTATATATATCTATTATATTTATATTTTTTAAATTTTAAGTTAATCAATAAATTATATGTAAATTTAACTATTTTTAAAACTAAATTATGTATGTATATATGTATCTATATATGAATATAATATATATACATATATATATATATAAGTGTGTAATTATGTATACACGTATGTATGTATTATATATTATATATTTATACATATTATATTTATATTTTTTTAAATCTCAAGTTAATCAATAAATTACGTAAAAATTTAATTATTTTTAAAACTACATTATGCACATATGTATGCATATATGTATATATATATAATTTTATATATATCAATGAAGAAATTATGTATATATGTATATGTCTATGTGTTTGAATATATATACATGTACGTAATATATATGTATATATATATCCTATGTATGTATTTTATATTATATTTATATATATTATATATATGAATATTTATGTAATATATATGTATATATGATACATATACATGTATATGTAATTATATATATACATATATATATTGTATGTATGTGTTTTATATTATATATTATACAAATTCTATTTATTTATTTTAACTCAAGTTAATCAATAAATTATATGTAGATTTAATTATTTTTAAACTATCCCCTGTGATTCTTTCTTTTTTATCGGTTAATATTTGTTTGTTAGTTATCATCTCCATCATCAGTTTTATTGAGAAAAACTATGTCGGTAATATTGTTACTATTCTTTTTGTTTGTTTTTCTCTCTCTTTTGCCAATATCTAATTTAGGTTTTTTTTAATTTATAAAATATGATCAGCAAAAAAACCAGGAACAAAAACGGACAAAATCACCGATCTCTTCTCATAAAGAATGACAAAAATATGATATTTTTGGTTATATTTTCAACCAAAGTTTTAAAAACCGAATCTTTAGATTCTGTCAATTCACAATGAAGAAATAAAGAAAAACCATAAATATGGAATGGACATAAGATTTCATAAGATTGTGGACATCGGTTGCGAGACCAGAGACGATGATGAAGAATTGGTCATAGATCTTGTAGATTATTTGGAGATCGATAGCGATGATATGTAATTGAACACCGAGTCTCCGGTCATTGGCGATGGCGAAGCTGTTATTCCCGACCATAGACACAAGGACTCTTCCATTGTATTTGAATATCTCTATATATATCTATATATATCTGTATTTTATATTTTTATTTTTTTAGTATATTTATACATATTATATTTAAATTTATGTTTTTTAAAATTCAACTAATCAATAAATTTTATGATATATAAGTAAATTTATCTATTTTTAAAACTAGATTATGTATATGTATATATGTATTATGTACGTTGAACCATTCAAACTCAAAATTATATATATATATATATATATATATGTATAACATATACATGTATGTATGTATATGTCTATGTGTTTCAATATTTATATATAATATATATATATGTATATATACATATATATATATGTGTGAGTGTAAATATATGTTTGTAACTTCGTATATACATTTATATATATATATATATATATATATATATATTTGTGTATGTATATATATGTATATATGTATTTTATATTATATTTTTATTTTTCTAAAACTCAAGTTAATCAATAAATTACATGAACCTTTAAGTATTTTTAAATTAATTATGCATGTATATATGTATATATATACATGCATATATATATATATATGTATGTGAATGTATATATATCTAGATTTATTTATTAAATTTAGGAAAAAACCCTTATAAATATATCAATTTTACCAAATATACCAAATAAATACCTAATGTTGAAATAATTTAAATACATACTCTAACTTACGAAATCAATAACAATTTACAATTTTGATTCGTATGAATGTTGAATATAATGTTTAAATTTTACATCATTGTTAGAATCAATACTAAGAATCGTTGTTATTTTTCTGAATTCTTTTTTTTATGTTAAAAATTAACATCTACTTCATACGTGGTCATCAGAGTCGATGATATGAAAAATTTACCATAAAACTGAATGATAAAATTTTAAAATACCATAGAAAAATAATTGGTAAGAGAAGTTTTGACAAACTTAATCATATTTTCATACAATTTATTATTATTGTAAATAAAAAATTAATAAAATGTTTTAGACGTAATAAAATTCAAATTTATGTTCAATCATTCAAATCGATATATATATATACATCTATATGTATATGTATATTTATATAATCTCGAACATACGTATGAAAAAATTATGTATATATTCTATGTTTATAAATACATATATATATATATATGTATATATATGTATAACTATGCATACATATATAACAATAATAACATTTAGAAAAAATCATTCATATCGACTTTATATAATGTATATATAATATACTAATATTTACTTATTTTTAATTTTTTAAAATATATAATTTCATAATAATTTCTAATTTTAATAAATAAAAAATTAAGGCATATGATATTATCCTAAATTTATAACAACAAACATTATAATTAAAATATTCATCAAAAAAATAACTCGCACATCGCGCGGGTCTTTACCTAGTTAAAATAATGAATGTACTAAAAATATAATTGAATTTTCATTTCCATGTAATTTTGAAAATATATAAATATTGGTAAATCATATATTTTCATTTATTTACAATATATATAAATTATAAATATATAAATATTTGTTTTAATGTTATTAAATCACATCTTTGATATATTAAAAATATATATATATATATATATATAATGAATATTTTTTTAAACTGTAATAAATTATTGATATTTTACGAAATATATAAATATTTCTTTTAATTAAATTAAATCACCTATATTAAATCATTTTTAATGAGCATTTTAATAAATCAATGAGAACTATAAAAGTGACACATAGACAATGATATTATATAAGAATGCCATTTTTTTAAAAGAAATAAATTATATTTAAAGCATATTTTATCACAAAATCTCAATTACTATATTTATATTTAAATCATACATTTTAGATTTATTAAAAATTTATAATAATTCAATCTACATAAAAATTCACCAACTTTTTAAAAACTTTTATATAAATAAGCGAACTTTTAAATTTTATAAAACAACTGTATGAACTTTCTAATGCATATATATATATATATAAGTGTGTGGAGGGTGTGTTATATATGTATGTAGTCACTTCCTTTTGTATCACCAATGGGTTTCATATCCGAATTCCACTTACAAATACATCTTCTTTCTTGGTAGGTGAACCTCGAAATCACCCATTACAACTGCATACAAAGATCAGAAATTTTGTTTTTCAAAATCGAAGTCAGAAATAAAGATACTGTTGCAATATCTTAGCCACAATTACTTGTGCTCGAAGAGAAAAACATGAACTTATCCGTTGAATTTGGGATGATTTATGTAATCTTGAAGAAAACCCATCTCCTTACCGATTTCTTTCTTCACTTTATTGAGTGATACTTGTCATCACGTTCCTTTGCAAAAATATCTCGTACATTGAATTTTAATTAGGAGGTTAATAGTGAATACAATTATTACTTTTGGAAAGGCAATCTGTGTTGTTGAACTTCAAGAGGAGCTTCTTTACCAAGAAAATTTTAACGAAAACAGCCAATTGTGGTGGTAAAATTATTTTACCTTGATAGTGTTGTATAGGAATACAAACATTCGAGTGTATAGATTAATAAGAATTAATTCAAGAAATTGAAATCAAGTGGAAAAAAATAAAATATTAAATGTGATGTAATACAGATAATTATTTGGCTATTTGAATCGGAAGGTAACCGAACCGGAATTCTTACTATTTCGGGAAAAAAACTGATCGGCTAATAATGTATTTAATGATAATTAATATATGATTAAACCGGAAGTTTACCGAACCGGAATGGATATGAATTGAAAACAAGACAATCTAATTCGAACCGAAGGTTTCCGGGGATTGTAGGCTCCCCCCGAAACGTCACCATCCATCCATCCTCTCAAAACCAAAGCTGATAAAAGTTCTCTCTGGATCTCGCGAGATCCAAACCAAATCGAAGAAGAAAGAGACACACACAGCCTTAGGGTTAGCTTACGATCGAATCTCCACTTTTGTCTGAAGCTCCTCCAGTTTTGTCTAATCAATGGCGGCTTTTATCAATCTCGAGGATTCCCCAATGTTTCAGAAACAGGTAAACTACTAAGCCGATTACATCAATTGCTTCGACTTCGACTTCTTCTGATTCTGTCTTGTTTGGTTGAGATTTCATGGTTTTGCAATTAGAATTATGGGTATTCAGTCGTTTCTCTTGTGGGTATTTTTTGTTGATTGGATCAGGTTTGCTCCTTGGAGGAGACAGCTGATGAGCTTAAAGATCGTTGTCAGAAGCTATACAAAGGTGTCAAGAAGTTCATGTATGTGTAATCAGTACCTGTTCCTTTTTTTTTTTGTAAATGTCTGAATATCGTCGTTTGATGTATCTGTCATTATAAGTTCTAGGAATTCTATCTCCCGCCTTTTTTTCTGTCGGGTCTCTTCTGACCCATCAGCTGGAATTGAAGTTGGAATTTTGGTGCCAGTTTGCCTCCTCTTACTGACTAGATTGTGAAATGGTTGACCATTCAAGCTCTGCAACTATTCTACCTTTTTCCTGTTAATGTCATATTCTGTACCTTGTTAGCTTGATGACTAGCTACCTTTTGGGACGAAAAAAATTTGCGGATTGTGTGCTATGTGAGTACATTCCCTGCTGATGATGTTGTACCAATGTCGATGTAGCTTTTGACTCCATAATCAAGGCAAAGAATTTATGTTCCCGGCGATTTTGTCTATTTATTTTCTGGATGTCTTTTAGCACAAACGTGTTGTGTATTTGCCTATTTGGTAATCTCTTTATATTTTATCCTGTGTCCGACTATGTTTCATTCATTCCGGTGCGTATCAGTTGATCTGAATCTTGTTAACCTGAACCTCACTTAACAATAACTCACCAAAGATTGCTTTCCTTGCTCCCCTCTTACAGTTGATTTTCCGGCACAAGTCTTTTGGTTGTTTGGCGTTTAAATGGCCTTTCAACTTGTTTGGAACTCATGGAACTAGAGATGATGTGATAACCAACACCATTTTCTTCTCACTCTTTCTCAGTCTCCATTCTCTGTCTACTTAAAATTCCCATTTACAGGGTTTTGTGATGTCCTTGCTCCAACCTATGTTCTTAAATAAGGATCATTTTTTGGTCAGCTGTCTAGTGTTGACTTTTATCATTGTATTGATGTGGCTGACCACATTACCGATGCCTGATAGGATTGCATTATTTTTTTTTATGTAGGGGAGCATTAGGAGAGGCATCCACTGGGGATACTGCATTTGCGGATTCCTTGGAAGCGTTTGGTGCAGGACATGATGACCCTGTCAGTGTTTCAATTGGAGGTTGTTGATTCACTTATAAATCACTTTGTCATGCTAAGTAGACTAAGAGTACCTCCTTTTATCTCACTTTTCTAGTTAGAGAAGATCATTTTGTGCCAGTATAGTCTGCTAGCCGTAATATAGGATGCTCTCCTTGTGGGGTTTCCATTCATTGAAATCTAGAATACCTTTAATCAAAATTATGTGCGTTTCTTAGTTCAGTTTACTTTTTTAGAGGGCTAGATCAGAAATGGAATACAAAGCCCATCCATTTTTTAACTTTAAAAGTTTTCAGGGTCATTTATCTAAAAAGTGAACATTAATTAAGCTGTTGAGACTACTAGGACCGTCCGTAGGACGCTATTTGTTTAGAGTAATTGATGTGGAAGTTGATTGTGACAATGCTCGATCTGGATGGATGTTTGCTTATTGTTATATGTTTACTGAAGTTTCCGTATCTTGGCTTGGCTTGCGAGATCTCTATTATTAGCTTAAAGCATCTTCTCATTTCAAAATTTTTTCTCATTCATTTCTTTTAACTTTGCTGGCTTTATGGATAACCTGTCTATGTGCCCTTTGCACATGAATTTTGTCTTGATATTACCCTTTCTTTGAAATAAGATGCTAGGCTAAACTGGGAATAGTTCCTTGAAATATTTGAAGAACTTATATCTGATTGTTTGATTGTGATTCTTTTGGGTGCTACCAGGTCCTGTTATATCCAAATTCATAAATATACTTCGGGAGCTTGGCTCTTATAAGGAGTTCCTTCGCTCCCAGGTCAGTTCTCATAATATCTTGTTTCAGTAATCATAAATGTGTTTCTCAAGAAAGAGGAGAAATGCAAAAATATTGAAAATAAATACTTGACCTATAATTGGGTTGTATGGAGCGAAATTGGGCATGTTCTGAATGAATAATGTAAAAATGCAATACTTTTCACATTTTTCCTCCAACGGTTCACACAATTTGAAACTGAGCTTGTCATTCCGGTAATCAAATCATTAGAAAGATAGTGCCTAGACATAAATGTAGCAAAAGAGATTATGTAGAAATTGTACTAGGATTAGCTCCTAGAAGTAATGACAAATAAGAAAAATAACGAAAAAACCAAAAAGAAAATATTTTAAAATTCTAATGATTTATCCAAGTCAAATTTTTTGATGCACCATTAAATGGAGAGAAATGGTTTGGCAGTTTTGATTTCGAGCTAGCTTGCTGGCAAGCAAAAGATGGCAAGAAAGCTTGGCAATGTAAAGAACATAGTAAGGAATGATATTTGGAGATACCATAATGGAACTTTTTTGCATTATAGGTGGAGCACGTGTTACTTGAGAGGTTGACAAACTTTTTGAACGTTGATCTACAAGAGGCAAAGGTAACTTTCTTTTTTCTACTACGTTCGATGATTTCCAACATTTCACTGTACAGTAGAAGGCTAGAAGTATTAAATGATTTGCTGCTAGAATATTATGCGTTCAACATTGATTAACAAATTGAGGACTTTTTGTTGTTCATCTTCTCCACTTGTTGACTGCATCTACGCGATACAGGGAATATCCATTGCTATTATCTTCCAATGGGAAGTGAAGAGGATACCACTTTTAAGATTGTCTCAATCACTTGGGGATTTTTTCTTTCAACTCTCTCTTTAGGGAACCCTAGGAGAGCAATTCTTTTTCTCTTTTAGCACACGTCTAGATTATAACTTTTTAAATTGGAGTAAAGAACCATATAGAAAATCATACTTCAACCATATACAATGTAACTAAGAAAATGTATCATGAGAAATCTGGCCATTGAGTTGGGTCTTTTAAGACATTTTACCGACTTTTAATTCTATCTTCTTCATTCTCTTGAATTTCAGTTTTCTGATAGAAATTTATCTCTTACATTCTCCGATGCTCTTAAAGATTTGAGATGGTTGAAAACTCGAGTTGGCATTTGCCAATGATTCCCTGTGTTGTTGTTTTTTTACCTTTTCAGGAGTCCCGCCGACGCTTTGATAAAGCTGTTCATTCTTATGATCAGGTACTTGGTTACGCTAACTATTGCTTCACTTATTTTCTGTGCATATATTGATTTCCTAGTGAAATACTTTTATATGTTGCTGTTCCCCAAAGTGAGAACTTAATTTTATTTTGTTTTTATAGATCTTGTTATAGATGCATCCTGTTTTGGTTTCAACCTGGAATGTGCATGGTCATATCACATAAGAAAAAGGTTGACAAAGAGTTCTATTTGATAATGAAAAACGACTCTAAGGTGTTATGGGTAGATTGCGAAAACTCATCACTATTTTAGCACAATACACCATGTGCTTGTGCTATTTAGTTGCAATGTAAACCTCTTTTGATTATGATCTTAGAGATGGAAAGTAAGTTCTTCTCTTGAATTTCTATTTAGTATCAAATGCTTTTAAAATCAGTGAGATTCATAAGCATTGTGGTGCGATGCTTAGTATGCCTAAAACTTGAGCAATGCATTTCTGTCCATTTGAAGGCTCGTGAAAAGTTTGTGTCATTGAAGAAGAATACAAGAGGAGACATTGTTGCTGAGTTGGAGGAGGTATGCAATGTGTTTCCTTTGGGCTTAGTTTCTTGTCTTCTTCCTTATCCGATCAGAAAATAGTCCTGATGCAACTCCTGATGAATGATGTGACAACTTTTGGTTAGGGATCCATTCTTAAGCTTCACATACGTGCTTTAACGGCTTGTCCAAATATAATTATGCAATTGATACAGGAAGATTGTTGCTCAGAGTATAACCCAATTGTTGTTAGTTTTCTTATACAAACTTTTATTTGACACAACTGAATGAGATTTGTAGTTGAAGCCATCTTCGCCAATATTTCCTCTTTTTGGGGGGGACATTTCTGTGCTTCATTGTTCGTTTTTCTTTTCTTTGTTTTTGTTCGTCACTATTATTTTTCTTTTGATCTTCTCTTTAGTCTTAGATATGGAAGCAACAAGCATGGGTAAACTCACCAGAACTATTTTATCTGAATGACAGGATCTGGAGAATTCAAAGTCAGCATTTGAGAAAAGCCGTTTCAATCTTGTATGTTAATCATCAAGCAGAAACTGTTGATATTTAATATTGATCTTTCTACTTCTAAATGAACTTTCTCTTTGGCTTAAGGAATTCAGGTCAATTCATTGATGAATATTGAAGCTAAAAAGAAGTATGAGTTTTTGGAATCTATAAGTGCGATCATGGATGCCCATTTGAGATATTTTAAGCTTGTAAGTTTCTTTTTAATTTTACATTTTTAGTCATTATCATGTACGGCCAACCGAGTCACTTTTGTGTCATGTCATGTTCCTTAATGTTGCGGTATTGTGTTGCATCAGGGCTATGACTTATTGAGTCAACTGGAGCCATTTATCCATCAGGTATATCCTTAATTTCGACTCAATTGGCAGTGTCAACATGACCTGAAATTTTTTGATAGCCTGGAAAATTACGAAGATGAAATATATTCTGGGAATATTCTAGGTTTTATTGAATGGTGACGTAAAGACTTTCTGTCCATAAAAGCCTATGAATGGAAATCCTACTTATAAATCATAAGATTGTATGACTTCCCCAGTCTCAGAAGGATCTTTGTTTAGCATTTACATTTAGGAGAGGTAAACCAATGTATATTTGTTTAGGTAAACCAATGTAAGAGGTCCTGAAATGGTTGCATTGTTTCCAGGATAGGAAGCACAGATAAATTTGTACGCGGGCATAGGAACAAGTTTGGTAGTCAAGAACAATTAATAATTCTTTCCTGTGTGATCGACCTTGTATTGGATGATTAGAAAAAGAGAAGCAGAAACAACTCCAATATATTCTTTCCTAATGTGAAAACTGTTATTACCCAATTCTAATAATATGAAAGTTGCAGACTCACAGGATTCTGCTCTGATAATTAACATCATATTGGTTTGACTGTCATGGCCCCGATTTAAGGATCTGAATTCTGGTAGCGATCTGGCTTCCTTCTGACAAGTGCTTGGGAAAATTATAAGTTTATACTTTATACGAAAACACAAAAATAGGGGTACCATATTTCATAGTTCCCAAAGTTTTCCGATTCTTGGACAGGATATACTATCACACTAATATCTGCTACTCTTCTTCATGCAGGTTTTGACATATGCACAACAATCTAAAGAACAGACTAAGATTGAACAGGATCGGCTTGAAAGACGCATTCAAGAATTCAGGACCCAGTCTGAATTAGACAGCCAACGGGCCTCTTCGAACGCTGAGCCCTCTAGCGCTGATGGCAACCGTGTAGTTGGAATTATGCAGTATAAGAATATTGAAGCAACTTTGCCATCCACAGCAGACAAAGAAGTAAGCATTTTCCAACTCTTTCATGCAAGAATCAGGAGCAAATTACACTTTTTACCTTATCGTGGTCCTCTTCGTATGTTTGTTTGTGCTAATGGAAGTATTTTGTAGTTGGGCAGCTTGTGTAGAAATGTTAAAAAAAAAGTCCTTTTTGTGTTTTGCAACAGGAAAATGGGTAAAAGTCGCTTAGTCTGTCCAAAGCAAGGATGATCCTTGTGTTGGAAGGGGTAGAATCCCTTTAAAGAAATTGAGTCTTAAGTTTGAAGTGTAGAAAATATGTCAGCATTTTGCTTAGGCCATTCTTGTTTTACTATTTGACATAGCCAAAAATGTCATTGACCAACCCCATTCACCGTTATTTTGTTGATTTTATCGATTGCCTTCTGTAAAGTTTTTTCTGATCTCATGACGTGTTCTATGATGTCATGTCACCAGTTTAGTCTTGTGGGTATACTTTGAGACCTAAAATGGAATTTTAGTGATCATTCCTTATATGTTTCGCCGGAGAATGTGTACTTCTTTTCATCTTATGTATTCCCACATTGTATTGGTGCAGGTAATTAAGCAGGGGTATTTATTAAAGCGATCATCTAGTATCAGAGGTGATTGGAAAAGGAGATTTTTTGTGCTTGATAGTCATGGATCCCTGTTCTATTACAGAAACACTGGTAATAGATCAACGGTATGCAACAACCTTCTTTTCTGCCTTGTTGAGATGCCAGCCATCTGCTTCTCTACCTTGTCCTTTTTTCTATAATAATTGATTATAAATCTGGATCCCAATTCTCAGTTTTTTTTAAAAATGTCGCCAATTATTATTTTGTGAATCCTAATACCTGTGATGAAAATATATTTATAAGGAAATAGTGAGGACAAACATGACAGGCAAAAGTTTACATATAAATAAAATGCTAAGAATGCTATTCTGAAGTATTTAGTTTTTGTAGTTAAGGGATATCCAGTTGCATTAAGTACGGAAATCTATGGTCCTCCTTATCGTTATTTCTTCTGATATAAGATTGGGGAATTGGTTTTTAACCTTATAATTACTTTCAATTGTCACTGTAAATTGTAGGATAAGTCGTTTAGGCATTTATTTGAAATCCACCCTTTTTTAGGTAGCATTTTACAAAATTGACACAGCTAGGAATACTAAGTAGAAATCAGTTACATCTAGATTAGTTTGCGTGCCTCTCTCATGCTTCTCTTTTTAAAGCGAGTTGTTCTTGCTTGTGTTTAATCTTGTTATCATCCCGTTTTTCAGGTTCTTTTTCTTTCTTTCCTTAAGTACAGTGAAAAGGGTGTTGTATTTAGTATCTTTTTATTTTTACTTTTTCTCTTTGCAGGGAACTCAGTATCATTATACAGGTTCATCTGACCATAATAGTAGTGTCTTCGGTAGATTTCGTTCAAGGCACAATAGATCAGCTTCCCTCGCTGATATGAGCCTAGGCTACACTACCATTGATCTCCGGACTTCAATGATAAAGTTGGATGCAGAGGACACGGATCTTCGACTTTGTTTCAGAATAATTTCTCCTCAAAAGACTTACACATTACAGGTAACCCGATTTACATGCTTAGGGACTAGCTGGTACAAGTCACAGTGCTCCTGTAGTTACACATATTCTGAATCCTCGTGCCCATTCCATCAGGACCTTATAAACTCCTTTTTTAGGTGTAATTTATACTTGTTTGGTTTTCCCGATGTTGGTTCATGGGGTCACATAGCGAGTTCATAAATTGACTCAGTCAATATTGAAGGAAATTTCTTCTTGTCAACTTGATCTTTTGGGTTCTAGAATGATTAATGAGGACTTTTTTGCATTCTTGATTTGACCTTGGTGTGATGCGTTGGCTGTTTAGTTCTTGTGATCTACGATCTAGTGTAATTGAATTCATTACAAATATAAAAATGCCTCAAATGGCGGGTTGATCCCCGTTCATTCTTGCACATAACCCAAGTACTTCAGAAGAATAACATGGACTCGTTTTTTCTACTTTTTCCAGGCTGAAAATGGAGCAGATAGGATGGATTGGGTAAATAAAATCACGGCCGCTATAGCGACTCTTTTGAATTCTCACTTTCTACAACAGGTTGATGCAATATGAGGGTCGGGGTTTTTTATTTCTCTTTGAAATTAAATTTTGAGTGGTCTTGCTGCTAACAGAATCATTGGTTTTTTCCCTACAGCCACTGATCAGATACTTAAACAAAAGCTACTCTGGCTCTGGTTCTGCTGCTGATATCCTCTCATTGGATAGTCAACAAGAGAATGATGACAAACTAAATATGGCAGATGACGTTCCCACTATACTTCGACGAATTCCAGGAAATAATGTATGTGCAGAGTGTAATGCTCCGGTGCCCGATTGGGCATCTCTAAATCTTGGAGTTCTGCTGTGTATTGAATGCTCTGGTGTTCACAGGAATCTCGGCGTTCATATATCCAAGGTAGGCACAGCTTTTCTATTGGAATGATATTCAAGATCTTGTCTTCATAGCAGAGTCTTGGAGATGCTGTCTCCTCACCCTTCAAAAGTTGAAATTCTCTTAGTAAAAATAAATTGCTTCACCAGAGGCGAAATTCATGCAAAAGTAAACATCATTTCAATATTTGTAGTGTTTCAAAATATTCTGGATCATATATGCTTTAGAGTTAATGGGCATTCTGAAACATTTGATGTGGGATCTTTGCTGCAGTAAGACTTGAGTAGAATTTCTAAGAAGAGACTAGGAACTGAGTCATGGGTTTTTCATTTTTCAGCCTTATATCTTCAAACTGTAGTATTCTTCCTTGCAAACTGCAGGTGAGGTCCCTCACACTGGATGTGAAAGTATGGGAGCCAACAATCTTGGAGTTATTTCGCAACTTAGGAAACGAATTCTGTAACTCAGTGTGGGAAGGATTACTCCTCCTTGATAACGACAGGTATGATTTCTCGAGACAAATACTGGTCTAAACTGCAAAAAATCCCACCTCTTGTACCGGGTAAATTTATATTGAAAACTCTTCTCTCCGACTGAGAGCTACTACGTTGAGGTATTGCTACCTCTCTACAACAGGTTCCACTCTTTATTTACTCTTTGAGCGAATTATTTAGCATATTAGGCAGGATCCTGGCTTTTGAGGTTAGATAGAGATCCATTAGAGATCATATACATGTAGAGAACTGGAATGGTTTCATTCGGTATGCATACCAATCCGACATGAGGTTACAACATGATAAATGGTGTTGAGCTTGTCCATATATTATCTCGATGTTCACTGACATACGCTCAAAAAAAAAACTTTGTACAGCATCAACAAATTTTCGGCTTTTACAATTTGTTGGTTACATTATGCAGTGATTCCAAATCAACAGTGACACATGCTTCAATTTCGAAACCATGCCCGGAAGACTCCTTTTCTCTGAAGGAGAAATACATTCAAGGAAAGGTATTGGATCAATTATTAGTTCTCCTTTTCTTTCAACATGTATATATCTCAACGATTGATCAAATGCCAACATGAGCTTTGAATCCATTGAGCTCATACTTAAAAATACTAATTTCTTTTGGATCAGTACCTGGAGAGAGCGTTAGTCATCAAAGATGCCGGAGATGGAAACCGTTCTGCAGCCTGTGGAATCTGGGAAGCCGTTCAAAGCCAAAACATACGAGAAATTTATCGGCTCATAGTGACATCGGACACAACTATCATCAATACCAAGTTTGATGATGTTACTGATACCGATTCTTATCACCATTTGGGCAACTCGTCTGATGAAGATTCGCCTGCGGAAAAGAAAGGACATGATCCATCCGCCTGTCGGAGAATCAAGGATTCCAAAGAACCTGGAAACTGTCTACAAGGTTGTACTCTGTTACACGTGGCTTGTCACAGCGGCGATGCGGTGATGCTCGAACTGTTGTTACAGTTCGGTGCTGACTTAAACATGAGAGACTTTCATGGAAGAACACCATTACACCATTGCATAGCATCAGGGAACAACACCTTTGCAAAGATTCTACTGAGAAGGTACACGTTCTTTACACCCTAAACCCTAAATGCTGTAGAACTGATAAACCAATAATGCGGTCTTTGTGTTGCATTATCATGAAACCTTGAAGTGTGGTATTCGTTTTCCTGCGAAAATGGAGTCGTATTTCAGAACAAACATCTGTAGTAATTAGGGCTGGGCATGGGTACCGAACCTGTGGGACCCGCGATATAGTTCCGAGAACCCGAGCAGTGGCAAGTACAAGGTTCGGTCCTTTGCCGGTGTGAGAACTCGAGCCATGGATTCGAGTGTGGGTTTTGTCGGTCTAATCCGAGGGGAGAGAGGGAGAGGGGGTGAGTGCACGGTGAGGCAGTGAGATCCAAAAAGTCTCGGTGCGCATTGAGATATAAAAGGTCCAAAGAGTCGAGGCGTGGTAGCGAAGACGAATGTCTACGGGATACGAGACATTTTTTGTAATAAAAAGCTTGATATGTTAATTGTGTAAAAGAAAGGATACTGAGGCAGAGTAATGTTTTGGTTGTAAAACGCAGAGGCGGACGGCCATCAATTGAGGACGGGGGAGGGCTAAGCGTTCTCGAGAGGGCTATGGAGATGGGAGCTATTACCGACGAAGAACTCTTCATTCTATTAGCTGAATCCTAAACAAAGAGTTTGGTTTTCAAACGACAAAGAGAGTTTGTGTGTCGGAAAACGTTCGTGGTATCAGATTTGCATTGGCCCTATTCTTTTAACCGCTTACTGCCTTGCTTTGATCAATTTGTAGCAATAAGGACTCCACTGCACCATTCCATTGAATATTCCCTTGCATTTGTAGTTTTTTTTAATGAAAAACTCCAAATTTATTTCAGTTTTGTACTCAAATTTTAGATTCTGATTTCAATATCTGAACTATTTGGAGTTCATGGTGAAAAAATATCATCGTTATCTCCATCCCTTTTTTTAAGAAAAACCCTTTTCGTCATCTTTGGTGATGCATAGAAGAAGAAGAGAAAGAGGATCAAAGTGTTTGGCAGCCGACATAATTCTACACTCTCTGTCTGGTAAGAAAACTTCCACCATTGATTCTGTTTTTGTTTCTAGTACAGTGAGAACCTGAAACACTGAACCAAATTCCTTCAAGTCCCATGAATGATGAATCAAAAGGCTCAACAAAAAAAAAAAAGAAGCTTTACACTATCAAACCCTACTTCAAGAATCAAGAATTCATTCCAGAAAACAACCTTCCCCCCCTCTCATATGCTCACATGATCCTCCCTCGGCAAGCTCTGAACTGTATCCGACCACCTCCCCGGCGAATGATCGCTACTGTTAGACGAGAACGGGGCTTCAGCCCTCGCATCCCTCACCATCTTCAACACCTCTCTCATCACAGGCCGAGTCTCCGGCTGAAGAGCCACACAAGCAGTGGCAATACTCAACAGAGCCTGAAGCTTCTCCTCCGATGATGCCTCGTTCCCGGAGGAAGTCGGCTCCTCGCCCGATTCTGTCTCTTCCTCTCTCACGGCACGGACCCAGTGAGAGATATCTGAACCGTGTTCCTGGACAAGGTCTTGGTACGGAGTTCTGCCCGTTAGAAGCTCTAAGAGGAGAACACCGAAGCTATAGACATCAGCGAGCTGTGTCGAGGCTTTTCGTGGGTCCCTGGACTCGGGGGCTCGGTAGAAGAGTGAGGCAGCGCTTGTTTCCTCGACTGAGTCGGGATTATGGAGCATGGTGAGGCCGTAATCCGTGAGGCATGACTCAAAATCGGGACCTAACAAGACGTTGGACGATTTCAAGTTCCCGTGGGTTAAGCCCGGGTTCTGGTGAATGTAGAGCAATCCTGCAGCTAAGTCCTCTGCTATTTTCAGACATGATGTCCAATGAAGCGGCTTCCCGCCACCGGAACCCCTTGTTCCTGGGAAACAACAGAGAGACAGAACATAGAGATTCAAAGCCAAGTCCAAGCATGGAAACAGAAGGCATGAAGTTTTCAGTGCTATATATGAAGAAAAGAAAGGGCAGTTTTAGCGTACCGTGGATAAGAGAGAAGAGACTGCCATTGGGGAAGTAATCGTAGACCAGTAAACGTTCTTCTTTCGCCTGAAAATAGGCTCTCAACGGTACCAGATTCGGATGTCTGAGCCGACCAAGAATCTCAACATGTCTCTTGAATTCCTCCATGCGAGGATACCTCGAATCCTTCAGCCTTTTCACAGTGACGATGAAACCAGACTCCATCACTGCCTTGTATGTGCTTCCCACCGTCCCTCTCCCTAACGTCTCCGCTGAAGCTTTCAGCAGATCTTCCATGGAGTATCTCACCACTGTCTCCTCAGGATCTCCGGTTCCGAGGAAAACCAGAGTGCCAACCGATCCTTCTTCTCCTCTCTCCCATGAAAACCCTCTGTTTTTCTGGTCACTGCCCTCTGTCTCCGGCGTCGCTCCTTCCGCCGCTGCAACGGCTTTGCCTTTCCGTTCAACGCTTCTCGGCTTTATCTTCCGCCGTCTCCGGAAGATTAGGAGAAGTATCAGCAGGAGGATCAGAACTCCGCCCCCAACGCAACCCGCGATGATTCCGATTCGTTTAGCTTTGTTCCCTTTCGTCGGAAGTGGCTTCGGATGGTTCCTCGACGGCGTCGGCGCGATTCCGCCATTGTTGTCGCCTTCTCCACATGGGTTTTGGATCTGATCGCCGCAGAGACCGAGGTTGCCGGAGAACGACGAAGTGTTGAACTGCTTCAACGCTTTCGTCGGCGGGATTTGACCGGAGAGACGGTTGTTCGAGACATTGAGGAACCTGAGACTTGTCTGATTGAGAGGAGGTACTGAGCCGGTGAAGAGATTGGCTTCCAGGTAGAGCGTGTAAAGGCGGGAGAGGCGGAGCAACGAACTCGGGATCCGGCCGGAAAACCGGTTTCCGGCGAGGACAATGGTTTTCAGGCGGTGAAGATTCGTCAGGGACTCGGGGAACTCGCCGGAGAAGTTGTTGCCATTGAAATAAATCGATTTGAGGTTCACCAAGCCGGAGAGATCGGGGATTGAGCCAGAGAGGAAGTTGCCTTTGAAGCTAAGAACCCTAAGTTGGTCCAACTGATTCAAGCTCTTCCCGTCGAGCGAACCAGTGAGGTTGAGGTGTTCAAGAACAAGCTTCGAGATTCTTCCATTCATGCACTCTCTGACTCCTCTCCAATTGCAGAGATCGGTTCCACGCCACGGAATCGAATCGAAAGGATCTATGGAGGATTTCAAGCTCAGTAAAGCTTCGACATCGCCGGATCTCGCCGGAGAAACCAAGCAGAAAACTGTAGAAGAAGCGACCAGAAGCAAGAAGAGAGAGGATGAAGAACAAGAACTGTAGTAGTACCTTCCCATAACCGATTCCATTTCCAAAAAGACCAACGACGGCGATCGGTCAATCAAAATCGAAAGAACAAATCCGCTTTTATCAGCTGGGGATGGAATCGAATATACGGTCGGATTCAGTTCCTATGAAATCTCTGGACTCTGTATCCGTCGCTTTCCGCAACGGGGTCGCTTTCCAGATCCGCGAGAGTGATTGCCCCGATGCAGAAACTGATCGATCGTTTTCAGAGAAACGGGAAGAGGCCCAGAAGAAGAAAGGAGGGGAAGAAAGGGAAGCAGTTAATGGGTGGAGAGGAGAGGGTTGTTTGGTAGGAGGGCATTTACGAACAGTGAAATTTTCCCTCACTTTCTCTCACTTTCTGGGCATCTTTCCTCGAAGTTCTTGCTCGAGGAAACTCACGGACAGGGCAGCGGAGGCGTCACGTGAAGCCACTGCCTGAAACTTTTTCAGAAACCACAAAGTTAAAAACCAAAAAATCCCTTCTCTCTATGCATTTCCCTCAACGCATCCATAAATTATTACACGCATGCATGTGTGTGTGTGTGTGTATGGATACACTTGCATACATGTGTGAGTCTGTGCGTACACATAAATTAATACAATAATGGTAGAAGATCGAGAAAAATAAAAAAAAAATTACATTTTTGTCTTTATTGTGCTCGTTGTTTTCGCTTTCTCGAGATTCAGGCAGATTGGTTTTAGTTTGGTTGGGCCGTGGAGCTGAGCTGACCCCTGTGGAAAGTGAGAGAAAATGCGAGAAAGTGAGAGAAAATTTGAGAGCGAAGAAGGAGAGGAGAGAGAGAGAGAGAAGGGCGAAATAATTTAGGCTTTGAATGGTAGTGGCTTTTATTTTGGGTTTTTGGCTTTAGTTTTTGGTTTTTAGTTTTTAGTTTTTGATTTTTGGCTTTTAGATTTTATAATATTTGAAAACTCAAAAAAAGTAGTTTTTGGTTTTTCATTGATTTTTTCACTAAAATGGCTTTTCAAGTTTTTAGGAAAAGTAATTTTGTAAAAACTTGAATGTTGTTTTTTTTTTGTTTTTGAATTCTAAAAACTCCAAAAACTCCCACCATTCAATGGCTTAATATAATTGAAGCTTTTGCTGTCACACAAGCAATTATTGAGTGTTGCATCTTGTGCGGATCTATAATTTTTTTTTTCAAATCTTTCTTTTTTTTCTAAATTTTTATTTTCCTTTTGACATGTGTAATTTGAATTATGTTATATGTTTCAATTTAATTGTTTTTAGATTTAGGTTTTTGAGTTTTGGAAAAGTTATACTGCTTCATTTTATATTTAGTTGTGGTTAGTTTTGAGTTTAATTTTTATTAAAAATATTTCATTAGTTTGGTTTAAAAAAAAACTATATCAAATAAGTCATTAGACCTAATAGACTTAATTTCTTTCCGCATATGCTGAAATTTTGTGTATCCGGACCAATATTATGCACATCTAATTATTAGTATCCAAAAATTTTCATCCTTTTATATTTTTCTTGGAAAAGCAAGATATTAAATGACCAAAAATATAAGTCATACACGTAGATTTTTGTGGATCAAAACCAAAATATCCTATCTCTAATTATTATTCCCCGGTTTTTAATAATTACATTCGAGATAATGTATTTTATTATTAAATAGATATCGTTTTCTATTTTTTAAATTATTTTTTACTTTAACTAAAAATATTTAATTTTAATAGAGTGTTAATAGAAACCTTGTCTAATAAAGATATCTATGAATTTTTTTACATTTTTTTAAAAATTGAAAAAAAAATCTAAAACGTCATTTATTTAGAAAAAGGGAGTAGTTTATAAGATTTTTCACCGTTTTAAATTGCTTTGATATTTTTATTGCAAAAGAAAGATATTAACTAACCTACTAGAAATATAATATCAGTGATTGCATTGAAGAAGGAACCAAAAAAAAAAACATACCAAAAGACAAAGCAAAACAAGACCCCAAATACCAATATGCAAGTTAAAGATAGAGCCTTTGATTGGCTTTCAACTAAAACAACCTTTAATTGCTTTACCAAAAAAAAAAGATGGTAATGGTAGAGCCAAAACTCTAATTATGGGATGAAAATATAATATATTGATTTGGTTTTTCGGAGTTATTGATTTTAATTAATTTTATATAAATTAATTTAAAATATTAAGATTGATTTTTAATATGTGATTGTGAAGATACATGTATGGTATAGGTATAATAATGTGGGTGAAAGAGAGTTCACGTAAAGGATGTGCATTTCACCCGCACCAACCAAAGACTACGACCATTTATTTCAACCTCTTAAAAGCTTCTCATTGACGCAGCCATTATCCACGTGTCAATAAATTTAAAATAAAATTTAAAAAATTACATAAATAAATAAAAAAGAGAGGAAAGAACATATTTATGAGATTTAGGTTGCAACTTAAGAAACAAACTAAAAAAGTTTCAAAATTTGAATGGTTTAAATAAAAAAAAGTGACTGATTTGTGATCTAACTAAACAAGGATAGATCCTCCACGTGTGTCGTTTATGACATGGTAAGTAATGTTTTGTTATGAAAATCAAAATTAGGGTTGGACGTTTCGATATTTGGTTTTGATTAGGATTGAAAATGGTTCGATTTGATTTTTTTCGATTTTACAAAAATAGGTATCAATCGGTTATTATGTTATATTCGGTTTGATTCCAAAAAATTCGGTTTTTCTACAATTACTATTTTCAAAAATTTTGAAAGAACCGAATCGAAATATCTACTCCTAATCAAAACTTTTAGGATAATAGAGAATATAATTTCTATTATTCTATTTTTCATAAAAAAAATTTGTTTATAAATTGTCTACTTATAGAAAATCCAAAATTATTGTTCATTTGGATGGTAAGTCTTATAATGAAATAATTAGTCCTAATAGGAATCATAACATCTATTTGCAAATCAATTGATCCATATATATATATATATATATTAAAATGAATTAATAAAAAAAGTGTACCAATGTTAAGGCGCGGGA